CAACTGTCTGGGAGGCGCCTTCAGGTCCTTCTTGTTGTCCTGTGAACTAACAAGAAAATACCCTTCGAAGTCATCGTCGGAAAAGTACACCATCCATGGCGGCCACCGCTCGAAATTGTACTTCTTGGCCACCTCGCTGCCGAGCAGCGACCTGGCTGCAACCGCGTTGTGCTGCCCGCACACCACGTAGTAGTAGTATTCTCCCGCCAGCTCATCCTTCCACTCCTCCGGCTTTAGACGTTGTGCCTTGGTCCCAGGAGTTGGTTTTTGAAGCCCCAGTGGTGCGAGCTTGAAGACCGGCAACTCGTACGTCTGTTCTTTATTTTTGAACGCAGACCGCATTGCTCCCCTTATCATTTCCACGAGGACGGGATCTAGCGACCGCTGGTTGTAAAGATCCTCCCACTCCCTTATGTTAACGATCTGAGCCGGGCTGATCTCAAACTTCCGCCTTGTCCTCACGCCGTTTTTGTACTCCAGGAAGTACCCGACGTCCACGTCGATGGCAGGCCGTGGTGAAGAAGGTCCCGACTCAGGCTGTTTATGTTTCGAAGTTGGACGTTTGCTACCCGGGTGGCCCTCTTCCACCCCCCTCCTCTTCCGTTTCTCTCCCGCAGTCCTCGGGGTCTTGGTCTTTTGTTTCTTCGAAGAGCCCACCAACTCTTCTTGACATTCTCCCCTCCTTTTTTGGGGAGTGCCCTGCGCTCCCTCCCCGCCCACGGCCTCGCCTTCTGCGCCATTGCCCTCGGCGGGCTCCAAGTCAGACCCACACAGGACTCCCTCTTCTCCGGGATCCGCTGCGGTCTGTTGCCGGGCCCCAGGTATGGACAGCATGGACCTGTCTCTTTCCCTCGACGGCGAAAACGGCGAACACAGTGTCGCCTCATCTTCGCTGTCGTCAAACTGACCTYTGGCATCCTCCCGCTGCACATGTGTAGCCTCCCCGGAACCCARATCACCCCCCTCCCCCGCTACCCCGCTCGACTCACAACCGCCGCACGGCTGCAAAGGCATTGACAGTTCCAGGTCGGGACCGACTTCGCAAGGGATGTCGAGGGCGATGCCCTTGTCCTCCAGCAGGTTGAAGAACTCTCGACCCAAAACAAACCCGCCCTGCCGCTGGAGGTCGTTGTAGAAYGGGGTGTTCGCAGCACCCGCTCCGAACCCCTCGAACAGACACATGTCGAGAACTGCCWCCTTGGCACCGGCGACGACGTTCCCCTTCGAACCGTACACATGTTTCATGTTAAACCGTCGACGACTGCCTTTTGCATTCTCCCACCGCAAAACAGACCCCAGAACCCTGCGGCGCTTGTTGGCTTCGACGAAGATCACAGGACCACACGGCTGTTGGACTGGGTTCGTAGCATCAGCACAGCACCAGTCGACGAACCATTTCAACCTAGCGTGGTCGGACCATGTCCTCGAGGTCGTGGACGACCGTTTTGTAGAATCTTTCCCGGATCCCATCCCGGAGGTTGCTGYAGGCTCCCCTTCGTCCCTGGACGAAGACATATTGTCTGCGGACGACAACGGAAAACAAATAAAACACCAGCGAGCGTCAAATCGCAGTCAAAGCACAAYGCAGGCGAAAAACAGAGGAGGCACACCTTGCCCTCAACACGTAGGTCACATGACACTATCCGAGGACCTCGAAGTTCGGATCCCGCGAACTTCTAACGCRAAGACCAGCAATGACCTCTTGCCTGCAACGAGATCATTCTTTAAAAGGGCACACGCTTCATGCAGCCGGGCGACAACCACGTCGTTTTTTTCCGGAACACGGATGTCCACCCGATCKGGAATGGACGGGTGGTGACGCACAAAGCCCGCGTTGGACGGGGCAGTGKCGTCCGTTTAGCAATAGGAACCCGGACAGTTCAGAACGCGAAGTTCGCCAAGATCCGTACTAAAAGTGTCTGTCCGAAGCCAAACCAACGCACCCACCGAAACGTGAAGTTCGTCGGGATCCAAACTTCAGGAAAATGCGACAGGCAGAGACGGCGTCAGGCAAACACAGATTGGACTGAACGACAACCCGGAAAGGCCGCACTAACACAAAAGGCCGCTTGAGAAGGACAAGTTCGCCGAAATCTGAACTTCTTCTGATATGCGCAACTTGGCATTGGATGAAGCCAAGTTCGAACGAGCAGCCGCGACAACATTGTATGAGTCCCTGGAGGAGCAGTTGTGGATCAGGGTTTGACTCGTGTCGCAATCCACCGGGGATCTTTAAGCCCAGCGCCCGTTCAATACACAGGCGTCACAGAAAGTTCGCCGGGATCCGAACTTCAGGAGGCTGCGAGAGAGACAGACAGAAAGTTGGGGTCCTAGCAAGGTGTCCTAGCACGGTGCCAACAGGATTTCCAACAAGAGGGCCCGCCAACCGAGATCTCCAACGGGTTTCAGGAAACGCGAAGCTCGCGCGACCTTGCGACGGGGATCTCTAAGAGTGCTTTTGGCATCTCGCTACGACAGTGACCGACGGTTTGGCACATGTTGATGGTGGACGGGCGAAAACCGGTTACCGGCAGATCCTTTCGCAGTGATGGGACTTTCCCACGGCCCGCCCGACACCAATGACATCAGAGACAAATTAACGGAGAGGCCAGAACGGGAAGTTCGCCGAGATCCGAACTTCGCCGGGGCACGACATGGCAGGAGACGGCGTCAGAGACGAACGTCCAACATGACTTTCGTCATGTCACTGAACCGAACGACGACCAGGGATTTGCACGACAAGCGCGCGGTGCAGCATGTACGAGCAACCGCGGAGTCTCACATTTCTCTGCAGTTTTACAAATCTGACATGTTAGGCAGCATAACCGCATCTCGTCCCTCACCGTTCTTTTCCCTCAAACAGAAGGACTAAAGACCGGTTCAGATGCGGCGACATTTGGGGAYCCTTCGGGACGACGTCGTGAACCGAAGCCAAACAAAGCATTCAGTGACGATCCGTAGACGAGGGTCTGCGGTTCGTCGACCGATGCAATCTCCGAAAAAACGGACATGTATTTCATCCTAACAAACACCCCCGGTCGTGCCAAGGAGTTTCCTATGCAGTCCCGTATGTCAGCCGCTTTCTCGTCAACCTCACGAAACAACGAATAGTTTCGAACCTGACCTGCTATCACCAAATCT